TATCCCCTGTGTGCCTTGTCGACTCAGTCCTCCGGACCCGACCGAGCCGAAATTTTTCTAAGTCCCGCGCGGCGTGTTGCTTTCGCGCGGCGTGTTGCTTTCGCCGCGATTACCTCCGGCGCCGAAAATTCTCCGCTATCGAGGCGAACGGACGACGGGGGTGCACGGGGGCACTAGGGTGGCCGAATAAACGTGCGGGCACGCGAATCGACGTAACATTAAGGGCTTTAGCGGGGAAGCGTAGATCGGCCAGGTTTACCTCCGGACCCGACCGAGCCGAAATTTTTCTAAGTCCCGCGCGGCGTGTTGCTTTCGCCGCGATTACCTCCGGCGCCGAAAATTCTCCGCTATCGGGGCGAACGGACGACGGGGTGCACGGGGGTGGTAGGGTGGCCGAATAAACGTGCGGGCACGCGAATCGGCGTAATATTAAGGGGGCTAGCGGGGAAGCGTCGATCGGCCAGGTTTACCTCCGGACCCGACCGAGCCGAAAATTTTCTAAGTCCCGCGCGGCGTGTTGCTTTCGCGCGGCGTGTTGCTTTCGCCGCGATTACCTCCGGCGCCGAAAATTCTTCGCTATCGAGGCGAACGGACGACGGGGGTGCACGGGGGCACTAGGGTGGCCGAATAAACGTGCGGGCACGCGAATCGACGTAAATTAAGGGCTTAGCGGGGAAGCGTGATCGGCCAGGTTTACCTCCGGACCGACCGAGCCGAAATTTTTCTAAGTCCCGCGCGGCGTGTTGCTTTCGCGCGGCGTGTTGCTTTCGCCGCGATTACCTCCGGCGCCGAAAATTCTCCGCTATCGAGGCGAACGGACGACGGGGGTGCACGGGGGACTAGGGTGGCCGAATAAACGTGCGGCACGCGAATCGACGTAACATTAAGGGGGCTAGCGGGGAAGCGTCGATCGGCCAGGTTTACCTCCGGACCCGACCGAGCCGAAAATTTTCTAAGTCCCGCGCGGCGTGTTGCTTTCGCGCGGCGTGTTGCTTTCGCCGCGATTACCTCCGGCGCCGAAAATTCTTCGCTAACTGAGTCGACAAGGCACACAGGGGATACACGGGGGGCACTAGGGTGGCCGAATAAACGTGCGGGCACGCGAATCGACGTAACATTAAGGGCTTTAGCGGGGAAGCGTAGATCGGCCAGGTTTACCTCCGGACCCGACCGAGCCGAAAATTTTCTAAGTCCCTCGCGGCGTGTTGCTTTCTCGCCGCGTGTTGCTTTCGCCGACGGGGCCGACAGGCGCTCCGCGGCCAAGTACCTCGCCTGACCCGTCGGGCTCGCGCTCGGTCAGGTTAGCGCTCGGTCAGGTTAGCGCTCGGTCAGGTTAGCGCTCGTTAGGTCTCGCGCTCGGTGGTCAGGTTAGCGCTCGGTTAGGCTAGCGCGTAACGTCGGGCCTAA